GCACCCCTGAGCTGGAGCTCAAGTCAGCTCAGTGACTGTTGAGCATTGCTGATTGCATCAGATATATTATCTCCTTTAATACAACTGCCCTTGGCATTATTACAGAGGAGGAAACTGAGTTACACAGAGGCTAAGGCACACCAAGCCTGTTGCTTTCCCTAAATGCAGTGTTTCATCTCTTAAATCCTTATGCATCTCCGTCGCAAATGTGGACTTGTTTAGCACTAAAGGGGGTCAGAATAAAGAGGCCAGCAATTCACATTGGGTGGCCTGTGTGTTGTCGGGGGTGGGTTGTGCTTTGGAGTCACAGATACTTAGTGTAAGCTAAGTCTCATGATTGCTCATCTCTGAAATTGGAGAGTGGTTCTTGTCCTTTGTCTAACTTCTGGGGAAATTGCTTGGGGAAGAAGAAGCTGCCAGCAGATGAAGGGGGTTAATTAGATTTGTACTTTATATCCGACACGCCTGTAAAGAGATTTGTGTATCTATAAGGAATTACGGCTTTTTAGCCAAATTTATAATTATGATGTTATGAAGATACAGGTATTACATGGGATTCCTGAACTTTAACAAATAAAGCAAAATGAGAAGAATAAATTTGTTTGCTGGAGATAAAGTGAACATTATGGGCCCGTTACGGGGATACATTTCTATATTTTATAATCTCCATAGAAAAAATTATTTCATATATAAATATAACCCAATAAAAATAAATCTGTGAAGTGGTTACACATATTATAATGGGAAGTATTTTAACCACAGGGAATGGCCCATCTGTATAATTATGTCTCTTTCATTTTTATTCTTCTTCAGAAAATCTCTTCATCAATTCCCTTGTTAGTCAGGAATGAATCTACCTGTGTCTTGAAATAGTATTTTGCCTGTTTTCATAGCAGCTTTGAGCTTTTTCAGTTATGTTAGCTATAGTACATAAACATTAGTTGAAATTGTGTGGTAAATCTTCATTCATATGACTACAGGATTCATTATTCTGTTTTCAAATAGTATGGATGATTAAGATGGTGGAAGGGAAAGAGAAGCCCTATGTTACATGGGATTCGTTGGTCCCAGTAGCACACTCACTCTAGCTAGCTTTAAGTGAAAGGGGATATTTATAACAAGGATATAGCGTATCTTAAGGACCGAAAGACAGATTGTGATAAACGTCCTAGACATCTCTCTGGACATCCAAGAACACTCACACACGAAGGAATCACACTGCATGTGGTCATTTACCTATGTTATTCACTCAGGAGTATATAATGGATATCTTTTCATATCAGTAAATATAGACTTCCAACATAGTTTTCACTATATATGTGGTTTATTCAACGTGACTCTCATATCTGTGGGCCTGTAGGGGCATTTATCCTCCTTCCTCATAATTATAAACAATGTTGTGTGTATCCATCTCTCTGCTTACATCATTACCTACCTTGAGAGAATTCTTGGAAGTGGGATTGCTGGATCAAAGGGCATGCCATCTTACACCCTGAGATAATCTCCCGTGGAGCTACAGGATAATGTTTCCAATTTACATTCCCTTTGTGAAAGGGCCCATAACATTGGCTATTTATTGTCAGTCTTTGTTATGTTTACCAATCTGATAGGTAAAAATAAGGTCTCCATTTTCTAAAATTACATATTTTTATTGTTAGTACAGTTGATATATTTTCATATATTTCTTGTTATGTTTTTTAAGACATGGAAAGTTTGTCAATTTTTATCCATTTTGAAGGAAGTATTGATTTTCTTGTTTATTTTTAAGGCTCTCTTAGTCTGTTTTTGTTGCTATAAGGGAAGGCGGGCATGGTGGCTCACACCTGTAATCCCACAACTTTGGGAGGCTGAGGTGGGCGGATCACCTGAGGTTAGGAGTTCTAGATCAGCCCGGCCAACATGGTAAAACTCTGTCTCTACTAAAAATACAAAAATTAGCTGGGTGTGGTGATGGGTACCTGTAACCCGAGCTACATGGGAGGCTGAAGCAGGAGAATTGCTTGAACTCGGGAGGCAGAGGTTAGTGAGCTGAGATCATGCCATCGCACTCCAGCCCGGGCAATGAGAGTGAGACTCCATCTTTAAAAAAAAAAAAAAAAAAGAAAGAAAAAAGAAAAAAAACAAACGTGAGATTGGGTAATTTATAAAGAAAAGAGATTTGTTTTATTTTTCATTTTTGTGGGTACATAGTAGCTATATATGCTTATGAGGTACATGAGATAATTTGATACAGGCATCTAAAATTACAGTAAAAATATGTCATTTTAGAAAATGGAGACCTTATTTTTACCTATCAGATTGGTAAAGGCGACAAACAAAGACTGTGTAATAATCACGTCAGGGAAAATGGGGTATTCATCACCTTGAACATGTACCTTTGATTGTGTTGCAACAAATCCAGTTCTACTTTTGTCGTTATTTAAAAATGTGCGATAAATTATTGTCGACTGTAGTCACCGTGTTGTGCTATCAAATACTCAATTTTATTCATTGTAACTATTTTCGTACCTGTTGACCATTCCCACCAGCCCCTACCCTTCCCACCCTCTGGTAACTATCATTCTATTATTATCTGTCTCCATGAGTTCAGTCGTTTTAATTTTTAGATCCCACAAATAAGTGAGAACATGGTAAGTTTGTCTTTCTGTGACTACCTTACTTTATTTAACACAGTAACCTCTAGTTCCATCTATATTAATGCAAATGACAGGATCTCATTCTTTTTTATGGTTAAATAGTACTCCACTGTATATGTGTACCACATTTTCTTTATCCAGCATCTGTTGATGGACACTTAGGTTGCTTCTACATCCTAACTATTGTGAATCGTGCTGCAGTAAACATGGGAGTTCATACATCTCTGCAGTATACTGACTTTCTTGTGGGTACATACCATATCTTTTCATATTAATCAATATAAGCCTCCATCGTGGTCTTTAGTGTCTATGTGGTTTATTCAACATGTCTCATGTGTGCGGGCATTTAGCGACATTTATTCCCCCCACCCCATGAAGAGATCCATTTGTGCATCTATAAAGAGATCTTTATAGATGTATTGGATATAAAGTAGGATTGTTGTATCATATGGAAGCTCTATTTTTAGTTTTTTTTGAGGATCCTCCAAACTGTTCTTCATAGTGGTTGTGGTAAGGAACTCAAACAAATTAATAGGGGAAAAAAGTAATACTCTGATTAAAAAATGGGCAAAAGACCTGAATAGACGTTTCTTAAAAGAAGACACACAAATAGCAAACAGGTATATGAAAAGGTGCTCAACATCATTAATCATCAGAGAAATGCAAATCCAAACTACAATGAGATATCATCTCACCCCAGTTAAAATGGCTTTTACTCAAAAGACAGGCAATAACAAACACTGGCGAGGATGTGGAGAAAAGGGAACCCTCATAAAAGAGCTTTGTTTGGCTCAAGGTTCTGCAGATCGTATGCATAGCGTGGAGCTGGCATCTGCATCCGCTAGGCCCTCTGGCTGCTTCCACTCATGTTGGAAGTGGAGCCAGTATGGGCAGATCACATGGTGAGAGAGGAGGTTTAGGAGAGGAGAGGGAAGTGCCAGGCTCTTTTCATTAACCAGCTTTCTTAGGAACTAACAGTAAGAACTCACCCTCGAGGGAGGGCGTTAATCTATTCCTGAGAGATCTTCCTGTAGGACCTAAATATCTCCCATGAGGCCCCACCTCCAAAATTGGGAACAAATTTCAGCATGGGGTTTGAAAGTGACAAACATCCAAAGTATAGCAAGGACGTTTTGTAAAGTAAGGTTAGAAGCCTTTTCTATGTCTCATGTGTAAACATTTTCTCTAGCTTCTTATTTTTTGTCTTTGGTTTTTTTTTTTTTTTTTTTTTTTTTTTTTGGGAGATGGAGTTTTGCTCTTGTCACCCAGGCTGGAGTGCAGTGGCACAATCTCAGCTCACCACAACCTCCGCCTCCCGGGTTCAAGCGATTCTCCTGCCTCAGCCTCCTGAGTAGCTGGGACTACAAGCACGCACCACCACGCCCGGCCTCACTGTTTTTTTAATTTCTGTTCTATTTTTGCCATTCAGAAATTTTAGGTTGAAAAAAAAAATTGTCGCTAGCTACGTGTCTCAGTCCTTTATAGTTGCATATTTTGGTGTCATTCTTAAAAAGGCCTTTCCTATCCCCGTATTATAAAACTATCCCTGTACATATTCTTCTAGTACTCATTTGCTTTATTTTGAGTTTATTCTTCCATAAGTAGGGAGAGAGAGATCTAGAGTTTTCTTCTCTTGAAGCAGCTAACCAACACCGTTTGTTAACTAGTCTGTCACACCCGCCCAGATTTGATTGCACGTACTTGGGTCTGTTTTATATGAATCCTTAGTTCTGTATCTGGATGTTTATTGTGTTTCGAGCGTACGTGTGCATGTTCTCACGCGGGCGCCCGCTCGTTAACTGTGGCTAGGCGATTTTGTTGATTTCTACAATTGATTATAGTGCCTCTCTGCTTCAAATGGGTTTCCAGGGAGTAAGTTTCCAGGGCCTTGGAGAACCAGGAGCCACATGAGAAGAGCAAAATCAAGAAGGGACCACGTCACAGACATATTAGAGGAACTAAGTAGGAAAAGAAGAAGGCAAGAGCACTTCATGCAAACTCATTTTAAAAAGAAGCAGAGTGCAGCGCCTGAGATTTTTGTTTCCAACATTGAGGGAGGTGGATGCCTGTATTTGGTTTTTGTTTAAATCCAAAGCCATTAAAGCATTCCTATCACAAGGAAGAAGAAAATATGTTTTGTCTCTGTGCCAGCAGTAACATAATTTTGGTCTTCAAAGTAAGTGTCTTGGGACCTGAATTCCCTGTGGATAAAGAAAATTCCCAGCCCATGTGTTGTGGCGGAAATTCATTGTTTCCTGAGTTACTTCCTTTCATGCTTAGTGTGGGGGAAATGACCAAATGTATAGATTGCGATTCTTTTTCAAAAACATTACTTGATTCTGATGACTGTTATTATTATTTTAGGTGCTGCAGGAGGCTTCTCACATGCTTCGGGATATCTTCAGGGAAATTCACTCTTAATAGAAACTGAGAATTTAAGGTAGGTCCTTTAACAAAGATACTTTGTTCTTACCAGTTGGCCAAACCCCTGCATTGGTATAACTTTATTAAGTGTTAACCTGCTGTCTGTTACGCTGTCTCATTTGATCTTCACTGTGGTTCTTCGAGGCAGGTGTGTAGGGTGCCCGGTCCTGATGCTCCCATTGTGGTCTGATTTTTCCTCCTGGTAGTTTGGTGAGGTGATGCTAGGGGCCCAGAGGAGGGGCTGAGTAGCTGTTTTTTTTTTTTTTTTTTAATCATATTGGACCTTATAGTGTGAATTCTCATTCATTCACACTGGTTTGCTTCATAAACCTTTCTTAGGGTGGTGTGAGGGGTTAGTGTTGGGTAAGGAATTAATGTAGAAAATTCCATTGGTCTTTTTTTTTTTTTTTAACCTTTATTTTAAGTTTGGGGTACAGGTGCAGGTTTGTTTCATAGGTAAGCTTGTGTCACGGGAGTTCGTTGTACAGATTATTTCATCACTCAGGTATGAAGTCTATTACCCATTAGTGATTTTTCCTGATCCTCTCCCTCTTGCCACGCTCCAACCCGATGGGCCCCACTGTGTGTTGTTGTCCTTTCTTCCCCTTCGTTTCTTTGTATTCTTGTCATTTAGCTAACACTTACGAGTGAGAACATGTGGTATTTAGTTTTCTGTTCCTGTAACATATGGTATTTGGTTTTTTGTTCCTATATTAGTTTGCTAAGGATAATAACCTCCGGCTCTATCCATGTTCCTGCAAAGGACATGATCTTGTTCTTTTCATGGCTGCATAGTATTCCATGGTGTAAGTACCGCATTTTCTTTATACAGTCTGTCATTGATATTTTCATTGGTCTTTGAACTGAAACTCAGTGGTGGTTCCTGGAGCCCTCCATGGTTGCAAGACAGTTGTTCAAGCATGAGATAAAGTCAGTTTGGTTGTAGATTATTGTTTTCCTCCTTTGGTTGTCCTGGGGGTGCAGTTGTATGATCCTAAGTAGTGTGTGCAGTGTCCTGCACAGGGACACAGGGCTCTTCTGCTGGTCTTAGTTGATGCTCTTACCCAATAGCTGTATCATCGCACACCCAGATGTATCAGTTCTGCTTCTGAGCAGCTGCAGAACTTGGGACAGGCTAATCATTGTCTCCTTCTCTTCAGTTGTAAATTGTGTAGATTGGCCTAATCCAGTCATTGCTATACCTTTAAATTTTGTAGAATGGGAGAAAAATATTTCAGGACCTATTTCTAATTTTTTTGGCTATATATAAAGAAAATAGATGATTAAAGGTGGGTAGGTGAATGCGGGTTGGCTATATTTACATATTGTTCTTTGTATTTTGTGTGTGAAATTCTGAACAAAGATTTATTTTCACAAAATCACTACCATCTACGATTTTGTCAAAGAGGAAATAATACTAAAAGGACTATTCCTGAATTTGTCCTTAGACTATACATATTTAGCATTATGAAAATGCTGTTTATTTCTTCCTCATTTCTCTGTAGTCCAGTGACTGACAGACATAGACTAAGCAAAACTGGTCTGAGAACTGGTGTTTGGGAAATATTGGGGCACGTGACTGCTGAGGGCTCTTCTGCCGCAGAAGGGAAGAGACGATTCTGATGGGAACCTTCAGGAAAAATGGCCCATTTATGGGAACATCCAGTTAAGCTTTGAGTCACACCATGGTCAAGGTAAAGACAAAGCTTGACAGAGTTTTAAGTAGCCTCATGGAAGTGGACAGACTCCTCCATTCCTACCATTGTGGGGCAGTCTCTGGCCAGGTGTGATCTGACAGATAATTATCTTCCTGGGATGTGGGATGCTGAGAGCCAGGGATGAGGTGGGTGGAATGCAGACTCCATCGAGACCAATGAAAACCCCGGGTATGAGGAGCTCCATGCTTGGTGTGGAGGTTGAGGGCACAGTTCAGAGTTCCGAGCTAACGGCAGTGTGATCAGGTGTGCTCAGGGTGAAGAAGAGCTTGCCTGCCCAGAGGGCCATCTGGGAATCCGGGGGTGGATATTGTCCTTTGAGGACCCCCAGAGGATGCTCAGTGGTCTGATCTGGCTGAAGGACCTGGGGCACAGTGAACAGGAAACACAACAGATTGGTGCCTTTCCCAAGGTTTCAAATCTGAAAGGAGTGTTCCAGGTGGATTCTGAAGCCATCACCTGTAGGAAATGGAAAACCGTGCTTTCTCTTTACTTCTCCTTGGGATGTGGGCATGTGTGTGATGAGGAGGTGGGAGGAAGACAGAAGGAATAATGGGCTGAATTATTTAGCACAGTAAAGTAACATGGGGAAGAGCAGCAAAACCTATTCCAAGGAGTCTGTAGAATTCTAGTTGCTTCTAAAAGTCCTGAGAAGTTACATGTCCTCTGCGTTGATTGGAGTATGGTGGTTCAGCCCTTTGGAATTCTCCCTTAGTGATTTCTGGCTTTCACTCATTTTAACATTCTAATATTCTGGGAAACCTCAATGAAATTTGACAGACTTACCTAGCTGTTTTCTGTACTGTCAACTCTTGGTTTACTGCCTAATTGGTATCCATCACATGGGTCTCCTCTACCTGGGAATACTTATTCTCTTCCTTTTTAGGAAAAAGCTATATTGAACAACAACAGAAGCATTTGTCTTAAAGGTATAGGAATATGAGAGATTACCTGAAATCCTGACATGTCTGAAAGTGTATAAAGTCATGAGTAAATGCTGGCAGGAGCTTTTATTTTGACATAAACCAGAGGAAGGAGAATTGCTTTAAGTGATCTGGACCAGTCCAAGTCTGAATAAAAGTTAATCAATGAACAATGTAACCGATCAATCATGTTCTTGAGCCTTTCATACGGCTAAGACATTGTGAATGAGATCTTGTAGGGATGAGGAATTGAGAATTTGAGACAGCTGCACTTTGCCAGAATAAACATGATGCTCTAAAGAGTTACATGCATGCATGGATGTATGTGCGTGTGAGATGAGAGAGATGGATAGATGGTGTGGGGGAATGATAAACGATTTGTTTAGCATTTTACATAATGACTTGTGATATATTCTGGATTTGAGAACAAACGCAGTATTCTGACCTTATCTCTCTGGTCCCTGCAGGCTTGTAAGAAAAATATTTTAAAATCCACTTACAATGAAAAATACTGTTTTTGGCTCTCAGGGAATTTTTAGTTCCCACTGCTGTTTAGGGAGGGTTGTTGAATCTGTGAAAATTAGAGGAGGATCTTCGCAGTTCTTTGTCATTCTGTACCAGTCATTTAAGGGCTATGACGTCAGCGAAGAGTTGTTCTATGCTTCCTTTACTTCGTTAAAAATGTAACCTGTTACACACTTTGGTCTTCCTGCTACCCTCCATTAGCTGAGTCTTTGCTTCTTGATGACTGCAGGCATCACTTGCTCTCCAACCTGCAGGCTCCCCAAGGGACGGAGAGTCCTCCTTGGCATTGTCAATCAAGAGTCCTGGACCTAGGCTGGGCTCATCACTCTGCCGTTTGTGCTTAATACATGTTTCAGAACAACTAACAGTTTCCAGGCTGTTTTTCATGATTAAACTTACTAATCTGTGGTGTAATAGGATGTGCTGTTTCCTTGCTTTCTTTGGCTAATTGTGTTCATCAGTTAATTTCTTTCCACATTAAGAAGCCCTCCTGGAGAACTCAAGATTTGAGCCTTTTCTGTCCAAGAATTGATTGGATTTCATGGATTCGGCGACTCTAGAATACATTTATCTGCAATTAAGTAGTTTTCTGTACAATTTGAACCTTTCAAAAAACAATCACTTTTCTTTTTTAGCTGTGAAATTCTATACTGTGAAGATCTAAAATGGTCACCAAGGTCATTCTGTTCTGTTTACAACAAATCAGAATTGGACAGCTTTCCAAATCCATAAAATAACTAGTGTTTTACTTATAGACTATATACTTGACTTTCCTAAGATTAAAATAAACACATGTAAGGCCAGCTGCAGTATTGTCAACTCACCACTATAAAGTCATAAATGTTAAGGAAAATCCTGCTGCTGTGATCTAAACAATGGTCTTATGGGGGATCTTTTATTTTAAAAAATTTAAGTCAAAATACTGTATGCAAATGGCTGAAAATAAGAAACATCTGTATGGAACCACAAAAGACCCCAAATAGCCAAAGCAATTTAGAGCCAAAAGAACAAAGCTGGAGGAGTCATACTACTTGACCTCAAAATACGCCACAAAGTGATAATAATAGAAACAGTATGGGTATTGGTATAAAAACACACACACACAGACCAATTGAACAGAATAGAGTGCCCAGAAATAAATCCACATGGTTATGGTCAATTGATTTTTATTTTTGTTATTTGTTTGTTTTGTTTTGTTTTTGAGATAGGATCTGTCTCTGACACCCAGGCTGGAATGCCATGGTAAGATCATGACTCACTGTAGCCTTGACTTCCTAGGTACAAGTGATCCTTTCACTTTAGCCTTCTGAGTAGCTAGTACTACAGGCATGTGCTACCATGCCTAGCTAATTTTTAGTATTATATAGAGACAAGGTCTCCCTGTGTTGCCCAGGCTGGTCTCAAACTCCTAGGCTCAAGTGATTACCCCACCTCAGCCTCTCAAAGTGCTGGGATTACAATGTAGCCACCATGCTCACCTCAATCGATTTTTGACAGAGATGCCAAGAACACACAATGGGGAAAGGGCAATCTGTTCAATAAATAGTGTCGGGACAACTGGATATCCACATGCAGCAAAAGGAAATTAGACCGTATCCCACATCATAGACAAAAATCAACTCACAATGCCTGAAAGACTTTCAGTGAAAGACCTGAAACAGTAAAACTGTTAAAAGAAAACATGAGAGAAAAGCGTTGTGACATTGGTCTGGGCAAGGATTTCTTTTGGATATAAACACAAAAGCGCAGGCAGTGAAAACAGAAATAGACAAATGGGATGCTAGGAAACAACCAAGAGTGAGGAGGCAGCCTGCAGAATGGGAGAAAATACCTGTAAACCATACGTCCGATAA